TTAGTTACACGCTATAGAATTAGAAAATTAGAAAGGACATCACCTGGTTTAAAGGTAAAACAAGATGGTCCACCTTCTTATTATAAAAATCTAGAAATCTTATGGTATACAAGCAACCTCACGTCGATAATAGATGCCACATACAATGCCTATAGAGCCGTTGCAAAACTAATGATTTTATAGGGACCATTGAATGGTATACGTGCACTTATTGTTATCATACAACCACGTCCATGTAATTGAGCATGAAATCTGTCACAAAGGAAGAATTCAAGTGGTTGAGCAAGAAACCTACAAATTCATGTCTCACATCCACTTCCACTTCATGAGATATTTTAATGTTAATTCTCAATTTTGAACGTATCACAAACGACACTTTAAAAAAATGAAGACGGATACACTCAGTGATGCAAAATGATCCGAGTCAAATGATGCCGAGTTTTTCGATAACTCGTTGATGGCACTGAGGTACCATGAGTTGGCGGATAAGAGCAAAAATGGCAAGTAATCGACGATCATTCCTAATTGGGGCAGTTTCGGATACGTTTTGGTATTTTGGTAATAACTTTGGCTATGGTTATTAGAATCGTGCTCATGACCCCAATTCAAAAAACTATTTTCGGTGCGCACGTCATGCACATTGATTTCGAGGGCAAAATCCGCTGTTTTCCTTTTCAAATCCCTAATTTTAGTTATTTTTTTCCTTTTTTGGTAATATTTCATTTGCCTTTTTAAAATAGATTACGAACTCGCTTTGAGCCAGATTTTTGGGATATTATTTCTTTTATTACGTACTTTCTTTTGGTATAACTATTGAAATTTTGCTATTTTCTAGCTATATAGCCCGACTTGTGGGTTGTTTTCGCATGTTGGATGAATAATAAAGAATCTTTTATTTTCTTGACGTTTTCTCTTGTATTCTTCCCTGTTAATTATCTGCTGAAACCATCTTGCAGAATAATCGCTATTCTATCTGGCATCGGTTGGTATCAGAGCATCAGCATCTTCGTGGGATGAGATTTCATCAGTCCTACCATGGTTTGT